TACCAAATATCTCATAGAGCTCTGAAATGCCCTGTATAAACCTTTTTACGAGAGCTCTACTAAATATGCATAGTGGTGTAGGGTATCATATAGTCGGCCCCGCCCGAATTTTGAGCTTTCCTTACTGGTTTTTTTTTTTTTTTTTTGAAAAAGAAAAACGAATAATCTATAAAAATTTTGGAAGTGTGTAAAAAATTGTCAAACTGAACATGATTTCTGCAGATAGATGGGCAGATATGCATAAATTGGCGTAGTACCTTACGCTGTTAAATAGTATATATATAAATTTTTCAAGGTACTCCAAACGGAATGAACCCATTTCTTTGGTTGGAGGGTATGAAATAGGTATATCTTTAATAAGCATATGTAAAATAGTTGATCCAAATATTTTATTACAATTTCCGATGTTAAGGTTGCGGCTTTAAATCGGTTTGTTTAATGCTGAAAATTTTTTTCCCATTTTTGACCATACGTATTAAGCTTTTAACTAAATACTTACAACATATGTGTATGTATTTGTTTATGTAGCATACCATCAGTGTTACCTTGACCCCATTTAAATCAACTTTGTTTAGCTTTTAACTTTTTCCTAAATGTCCACATTGCTAATTAAAAGGTATTTAAATTAATTTACACAACAAACAACTGTGAAAATTATGGTGACATTTTGTCTAGCATTTTATGATGTTTGAAAACCGCTTCAATTTCCACCACACAACCAAGTTGAATGGTTTAGAGTAATGGCGATATAATTAATTAATTAAATGTGACAGGTAATGGTAGTAAATGCAAATGTGTATATTTTTTCAATTTGAAGATCTTAAATTAAGTGAAGTTTGAACAGTGTTAATGTAAAATGTTTTCAGTTATTAAGTAAGCTATATTGTCGGTAACTATTACAATTATAATTAAAAACAAGTAAGCAAAGGCTACAGTTGAGCGGGGCCGACCGTTGAATACCCTACAACACTATAATAAACGATACAGTTTATATAGGCGAGATACTCGAAAGAATTCCACAAGATATTGTGACAAATAATAAAAGAAAACCATCAGGTTTCGTTCTCTAATTTTCGAATAATAGCAACTCTAACTATTTTGCTCATTTCCAATTTATTGGTAGATGTTGCACGTAAATGGTCTTCCTAGATCTGGAACCAATATTTCCCAAAGACCTATAATCTCTCAGAAGTGACAAAAGATTAACATTTATTATTGGTTTTTGACTGAAACGCATCTATATGAGATATAGACATTTGACAATATTCTTCAACGAAATCAGCGTTAACGAAATAGTCAGAAGTGCGTCTTCCCTGTATTTGTGAATTCTCCAAAAAGTCACTGGAATGGACATTTTCGTATTTTGTCTACAAAAGTTGGCAAACTATTTCACACATTGAATATTTTTGGATGGTCATCCTAAACTGCTTGGCTTTTGCAATGTCCGGTAACCCCCATTCAAATGTGCGTGAGGATCGGGCGCTTATTACGACCTGCTGACAATTTTTCAGTTTTTTTTTGTCCATTTCAACCCCTAAATATAGGACGATCATCTTCAAAAAGAGTAGGCTTCTATTCTGACCCTCATCTAATCCCCATGCAAAATTTCGTTAGGATCGGACCATAAATGCGATCTGTATATGATATCCTGATATCCTAACTACTTAGTTTTGTTAGCTGTAGAAATATTACCAAATGTTTAATTCAAAATGAAAATATGCCAAAAATGTGACAAAATTGAAAAAAAAAAAATATGAGAAAATGTTACAAAATCAATATTTTCATCTTTAGAAGGATATTTTTATGCGATTTTTTAGACGTTGTTTCTTTCCTGCAAAGAGGCCATTCAGAATTAATGAGAACTGTCGAAATCAGTTCAGCCGTTCTCGACATATAAGAGATTTTCAAGCATATCTTCTTTGATAGACTATATATCGCACATATTTTGCTATATATCCATTTTGTTGAATGTTAACATCAATGTAAAGAACAGGAGTAACCTTGTCATGGCTTTGTGATTTCGCCGGGATTCAAAATGTTCGCGGTTTAATGAAAAATTTTGAATTTTTCCAACACAAAAGATATGGTCTATTTTACCCGCTAAATATTTTCCGATGACCACCCAAATTGGTAGGCTTCTTCCCCACCCTAAACTCTAGCTACATGCGAATTTCCGCGTCTATTGGTCTATAATTGCGACCTGTATAGCTACTGCAAAATCCGACATTTTTCAGTTTTTGGTCCATTTCGACCCCTAAATATTATGCGATCATCTCCAAAAGAAATAGGGTTCTATTCTGACCCTAGCCCCACTTCCATTCTAAAGATCGGGCCATAATTGCGACCTGTAGAGTGATTACAAATTAACATGGACAGACGGACGGACGGACATACATAGCTAGATCGACTCAACTCGGCGAGATAGGAAGATCCATATATACTTTCCTATGTGGGAAATCAATATTTCGAGGTGTTACATAATTTTTGGCCCAATCAAACTTATAATACCCCCAACACATAGTGTTGTAGGGTATAAAAATAATGTAATAGTTTATCAAAAGTAAAAAAATAAAACGTATCAGTCGGTATGACCGACAGATATATACCCTCAGCCAATGTTTCATTATTTAAATATTTTTTGACTTATGTTATGATTATTCAATTTGTTCACCTAAATGGAGTAGGTTCCAAAGAAATCGACAATATTGTCAATTTCGTAACAGACCGGTAAATTTGACTTAAATATTCCGATGTGCTGTCTTCACTTTATATGAGATATGTGATAATTTTTAGAAAATATCAAAAGATTCATGAGAAGCCAGATATAGTCAACCAAAGTATTCAAATTTTCGTACTTCATGTAATGCAGATAATAGTATTGGTATGGGCAAAATTGCAGGAAAATCGGACATTAATATCCAATTTTATGCGAAATCATAAATTACGATAAATTCCATATTTATATCAGGTTTCTGGCTCAGAGAAATATATAGATATAGCAAGTTATGACATATATAAGTATATTGTGAACCCATAAGGGGTTCTATGCAAAGAGGTTGTATAAGGGGTTGCAAAAATGTTTGTGTGTTTGAAAGGAGTTCGATGCCTTTTTCGCTTTCTTCGAGAGTTTTGATTTTGAAAATCTTGAACTCTTTGTGGGGGAGGTAACAGAAGAAATAACTCGATCTCTACTATCTTCTTAAGAGATCTTGTGCTGATGCAAATATTGAGATGAACTAAGTCTGAATTAATCGGACGTTAATTTCGCGTTTTATGAGCTTCATGGATAATCAAAATTAAGACCATTTGTGGGGGAGGTACCAGAAGGAGTACACCAATATATCCCACCTCCACAGTAGATCTAGTGTAATGGGAGAAATAATGGGATATGAAAAATATGAAGAAAACATGATGCTTATTTCGGATTTTATACTCGTTTTGGTTATTAAAAATTTGGCCCTTTGTGAATATTCCAAATTTTGACTATTTTTGGGGAAGGCACCAAAAGGAGTAGACCGATATATTCCATCTTCAAATCAGATCTAGTGTTAGTAGAAATAATGGGATGTGTAAAATATGAAGAGAATCTGATACTTATTTTGGATTTTATAATCGTTTTTTAAATCGTTTTGGAATGGTCCGATCTCTACCATATTTATAACAGATCTTATATTGATAGAAATATTGAGATGTGCCAAGTCTGAATGGAATCGGATGTTTATTTCGCTCTTTATGAGTTTCATGGATATTCAAAATTTTGACCCTTGGGGGGGGAGATACCAGAAGGAGTGGATCGATATATTCCATATTCACAGTACATCTTATGTTAGTAGAAATAATTGGATGTGTGAAATATGAAGAGAATCGGACGCTTATTTTGGATTTTATAGTCGTTTTGATTATTTTAACCCTTTGTATGGGAGGTACCATAAAGAGTGAACTGATATATCGCATCTTCACACCACACTTTGGGTTAATAAAAATATTGTGTTGTGTGTAATTTGAAAAATTATAAGAGTTATAATTATTCAAAAATTTGACCCTTTGTGGGGGAGGTACTTGATGGAGTAGACCGAGTGGACATTTTCGCACCTGATATAGCACTGATATAAATACTAGAATTTGCAAAATTAGAACAACATTGGATTATCCTTTCTAATTCTGTTTAGTAAAATATTTTTTTGAAAGTTTCGACCTTTTGTGGGGCAATTACCAGAAGGAGTGGACCGATATTACCCATCTCAGAACTCAATTTAAAATTGATAGTAATATTACGATGTGCCAAGTTTCCAAATCGGATACTCCCTTCGAAAGTTATAGTGCACATCAATCAGACAGACGGATAGACAAACATCTCTAGATCGACTCCAAATGCCTTGATTCGGTCGAAAGGGACCCAGGGTCTAAAGCCGTTATTTCGATGAGGCACGTATCAAATAATATATACCCTCTCTAGCCATATGGCTGAGGATATAATAAGCACACTTAGAGTTCTTTTCTAAAATTTACGTACTGAATACTAAATTTTACGATCCTTTATCCTAACCTAACTTGACAATCTTTTAGTTTTCCAAACTTATCACTCTTTCCAGAATGACAATAACTTGACATCAATTTGCCCAAAATTTAATACATCAGGAATTTAAAGAGACAAATTAGGAATCACTTTCGTATTTCACCTCGCATCGCTTTTGTTAACAACGAGCATGCAACAGTTGTTGTCTTTTTATGACCTTTTTTTTTTTGTTGCTGTTGCTGATATAAATTGCATTTCAATTTAATAGCCTTTGATGGAAAATGTTAATGCAAAGCATATAGACGACAGGCTACATGAATTGTATTTCCGGCAAGTTCGTCGTTTTTCCATTTCAACACGTTTTGCAACAAGTGTTTTGCAATTTGACTACAAGTGTGGAGCACACATGCACAGGAACATACACGCGTCCAATAACAATCACACCCACAAGCACATGTGAATGTGTATGTGCGTATGTATACCCTGCTGCGAGCAAAGAACCATGTATCTTATATTACCACTTTATTTCTACAGACAATTGTACTAGTTCAAATTTCAACAATTTACGAGTAGAGTTTGGTTTGGGACACTGATTGTAGTGTATTTCTACTGACAATGTCGACAGTTGGCTTTTCTTTTATTGTCATTAAAACATATTGAATATATACACATTTTTATGTAATTTTTTTGTAGATCGCATCGAAACAACGCGTTTTTATCGGCAATTAATTTGTTTTGTGTGTTTTATTGTTAAAAAGGTGATTATTTATTAAATATATAAACAAAATGAGTAAAAGAAATTATAAAAGATTAATTAAAAAACAAAAAATATTGTATAAAAACAGAAGTTTGCAATGTGAACAAGAAAATAGTGAAAGTGAATTTGTGTCAAACGGTGGAGATTTTATAAATGATTTCGTGGAAAATGGAATGGAAGATTTTGCAGTTCCGAAATTAATGTTGCGGGACAAACTTAAAAAGTGGTGCATGGAAACGAATCCTTCAAAGAAATGTTTGGAAAGTCTTTTATCAATATTAAAGGAAGAAGGTCTAGATGTTCCGCTCACTAGAGAGACTTTGGTGGGCAGAGCAAAAAATATGTTAACGAGAAATGTTGCCCCTGGAATTTATTGTCATATTGGCATAGAAACACAACTACGAAAAGTTGGTCACATTTTGGAAAAGTATGAGGAAGTCGAACTAGATATAAATATCGATGGAATTCCACTGTTCAAAAGCTCTCGTGTGCAATTGTGGCCAATCCTTTGCAGAATCGTTAATATTCAGGAGAAAACAAAACCGTTTGTTGTTGGATTATACTTGGGAAACACCAAGCCGGGTAGTGTGAATGTGTATTTGAAAGACTTCATTGATGAAGTGATTCTACTAAAAGGTCAGTTTATCATACAACAAAAACATTTAAAATTGAAGTTTCGTTGCTTAATATGTGACGCACCAGCAAAAGCTTTCGTTTGTGGAGTTCCTGGACATACATCAACACATGGCTGCACCAAGTGTACTCAAATTGCGAAGAAGGTAAACAATGTCTTGACTTATAGTAGCGAGAGTGGTTCCCTAATCTCCGATGAGGACTTTGCTGTGCGAAAGTATCCATGCCACCATTCCCAAATGTTCAAAGAAGAAAAAACTCCTCTCGAAGAAATTGGATTTGGTATGATAAATCAGACTCCTTTAGATAGCATGCATCTCATTGACCTCGGAGTCACCAAAAAAATGCTAACCAGAATAATGCATAATAAAACTGAAAAGAAAACCTCAAAACAAAATATTTCAAAAATATCTTCTGAATTGGTGAAATTTAAAAAATACATTCCAAGGGAATTCCCAAGAAAACCCAGGCCTTTAGATGATCTTTGTCATTGGAAAGCGACTGAATTTCACCAGTTCCTTGCTTATACAGGAATTATTGCTCTTTATAATAATGTACACGAAGATATTTATTATGAATTTTTAACTTTACATTGTGCTTATCGACTTCTTAACAATGCACGACATATGGATCAAAATATTGTTCAAGCTAATAATTTGCTTCAATTATTTGTCGAGAACTTCTCAACTGTATTTGGTTCGAACAGCATTTCTTTTAACGTTCATAATCTGCTTCATTTGGCTTCTTGCGCAGAAAAGTATGGTCCCCTTATTTCGTTTTCTGCATATGCATTTGAAAATAAACTGCAAACACTGAAAAAACATGTTCGAAAACCATCACATATCTTTCAACAAATTATTCAAAAGGAAAAAAATTGCATGATTGTCAACACTATTCAGGATGGGTTAAAATATGAAAAAGGTGTTATCGTTGGAGCTTTTGTAAATGATTGCTACATATCCTGCAAAGAACCAAATAATATTTGCGCGGTGAATTCATGCATTCCAATAAAAATTGATAATATAAAGAAAAAGGGCGAAATATATATTGAAGGCAGTCGAATTTTGGCATTAGAAAGTTTCTACGAAGAACCGGTGAATTCTTGTGAGATTGGTATTTTCAAAACGAATCTGACTCTAGGGGAAAAAGAGACATTTTGTATTAAAGACATTCAGTTCAAATTTGTATGCTTGCCAATTGATTCTGATTTTGTAATCGTGCCCATTTTACATTCCTGCTTTCCAGAGAAATATCAAGCACAAATTTTTACCTCCTAAGTACACAACTCCCGCACATAAACATGTCGAACGAAAATGCCAACCCTTCCAAAGGAAAAATGAAATATTTTGCTCCACAAGGTAATCTCCAAAGATTATCACTAAATTTTTAACAGTATAACAAAATTGAGTTCATATTTTTGATAGCTAATGCAAAATGTTCTTCCTGCCAAGAAAATGCCAGAAAACTAGACACGATTATTGAACTGTGCTTTACTTTTGTTTTTGTTACTTAATAACTGCGTTAAAAATGTAACGTTGTTAAATACTTATTCTATTACAAGCATTTTCCTAAAAATCTCAAATGACTATTTGGTTCGAATGCCTCCATATGATCTCGAAAGGACTAATGGTCTTCTAGTGTTTATTTGGTTCAAATGTCTACATATAGCTCAGGATACCCAATAAAATGCAGTGATTATTTGGTTCAAACGTCACCATATAAACTTAAAAGATCTAATCTTTTTCTAGTGATTATTTGGTTCAAATGTCTACATATAGCTCAGGAAACCCAATATAATGTAGTGATTATTTGGTATACACGTCATCACATAATCTCAAAAGATATAATCTTTTTCTAGTGACTATTTGGTTCAAATGTCACCATATAGTCCCAAAAGAACTACTTAGTCAATATAGTCAAGGTCTACTGGTACTTCTCCTATGACAAGCCTATGTTAAATGTCCATAGGAAATTACATTGGTTGTGGTATACTTTTTCACTAGTACTAGCGACAATGTCACCAGTAAAACACTACAATTTTACTAAAGCTGCTCGCTGCAGGGTATTCATTGATGTATTCCTTTCCCCACATGCGAACATATTTGTTGATTGAAAATTGAAAATAAAGTTCACGGCATATCCTGGACGGACATATTGACAAAGTGACTGTATGACAGTGTAAATACATATACATACATATGTACACATATGCTCATACATATATGCAAAAAGTATCTAATAAAATTTTCATAGTTATTTCGCGCCATTTTCTCACCAAGTACTGCAATCACTATGAAAGGATGAACAACAACAACAATAACAATGCCAGGAGAGAGAAAAAATTCCGAAAATGAGTGAATGAACGAATGAATGTTGCTTTTTTGGTGCCATACAATTTTAAACGGAAAAATGACAAGTGCAGTCAGTCATCTAGCCATTTATACACTCAACATGGTACATTACCCAGAGAGGCAACGGCGACATACCGCATCGCCCATTTGTTGACACACGCCGTTCTTGGCTTATTACAATGGCAAATGTGATGGAGCACAGTAGATACAAACAACAAATACGCAAGGACATATATGAATAATTTATAAGTCGATTCTTTAGGGACTTCATGGTAAAAAATGGTATATATTAAAAAATATTTTTCAAGGACTTCATGGTGAATTTTTAAATAATATTTTAAAGGACTTCCTGACCAATAGGCTTGGATTTTTTAAAATTGCTTTCCAAAGACTTCTTGGCCAATGGGTGTAGATAAAAAATATTTTCAAGGACTTCTTGGCCAATGGGTGTAGATAAAAAATATTTTCCAGGACTTCCTGACCAATAGGCGTGGATTTTTAAAAAAAATATTTTTCAAAGACTTCATGGCGTTTCTTTAAAAAGTATTTTCAAGGGCATCCTGACTAATAGGTGTGGATTTTTAAAAAAAATATTTTTCAAGGACTTCATGGCAATTTTTTAAAAAGTATTTTCAAGGTCTTCCTGACCAATAGGCGTGGATTTTTAAAAAAATATTTTTCAAAGACTTCATGGCGTTTCTTTAAAAAGTATTTTCAAGGGCATCCTGACTAATAGGTGTGGATTTTAAAAAAAAAATATTTTTCAAGGACTTCATGGCGATTTTTTAAAAAGTATTTTCAAGGTCTTCCTGACCAATAGGCGTGGATTTTTAAAAAAATATTTTTCAAGGACTTCATGGTGTATTTTTAAAAAATATTTTCAAGGACTTCTTGGCCAGATGGCGTGGATTTTTTAAGACACATTTTTCAAGGACTTCTTGACCAATAGGCGTGGATTTTAAAAAAAATATTTTTCAAGGACTTCATGGTGTATTTTTAAAAAATATTTTCAAGGACTTCTTGGCCAGTTGGCGTGGATTTAAAAAAAAATATTTTTCAAGGATTTCATGGTGTATTTTTAAAAAATATTTTCAAGGACTTCTTGGCCATTTGCCGTGGATTTTTTAAGACACATTTTTCAAGGACTTCTTGACCAATAGGCGTGGATTTTTAAAAAAATATTTTTCAAGGACTTCTTGACCAATAGGCGTGGATTTAAAAAAAATATATATTTTTCATATGCGTGGACCATTTAAAAAATATTTTTCAAGGACTTCTTGACCAATAGGCGTGGATTTAAAAAAAATATATATTTTTCATAGGCGTGGACCATTTAAAAAATATTTTTCAAGGACTTCTTGACCAATAGGCGTGGATTTAAAAAAAATATATATTTTTCATAGGCGTGGACCATTTAAAAAATATTTTACAAGGACTTCTTGACCAATAGGCGTGGATTTAAAAAAAATATATATTTTTCATAGGCGTGGACCATTTAAAAAATATTTTTCAAGGACTTCTTGACCAATAGGCGTGGATTTAAAAAAAATATATATTTTTCATAGGCGTGGACCATTTAAAAAATATTTTTCAAGGACTTCTTGACCAATAGGCGTGGATTTAAAAAAAATATATATTTTTCATAGGCGTGGACCATTTAAAAAATATTTTTCATAGGCGTGGACCATTTAAAAAATATTTTTCAAGGACTTCATGGTGTATTTTTAAAAAAAAAATTTCAAGGACTTCCTGGCCAGTTAGCGTAGATTTTTTAAAACACATTTTTCAAGGACTTCTGGACCAATATTTATATAAATATATAAAAATATTTTTCAAGAACTTCGTGCTGAATCAAAAAAAATCAAGGATCTCCTAGTGAATTTTTAAAAAATATTTTTCAAGAACCTACTGATTTTTTAATAAAATTTTCGAGACTTCATGGCAAATAAGCGTGTATCTTTTAAAAATATTTTATGAAAAATATTTTTAAAGCAACTAATCAGCTTTTGAATATATTTTACAAGGACTTCCAGATGATCTTTCAACGACTTCATGGCGTGAACTTTTTAAAAATAGGCGCCAATAGGCGCGGACTTTTTAAAACACATTTTTCATAGACTTCCTGCCCAATAAGCGCGGACTTTTTAAAACACATTTTCAAGGACTTCCTGCCCAATAGGCGCGGACTTTTTAAAACACATTTTTCAAGGACTTCCTGCCCAATAGGGCGGATTTTTAAAATACATTTTTCAAGGACTTTCAGGCCAATGGGAGTGGATTGTTCAAAGATATTTTTCAAGGACTTCAAGTTTAATGATCGTGGATTTTAAAGCTTATTTTCAAGTACTTCCTGGCCAAAGGGGGCGGATTTTTAAAACATATTATGCAAGGACTTCAAGTTCAATGATCGTGGATTTTAGAATTTATTTTCAAGGACTTACTGGCCAAAGGGGTGGATTTTTAAAAAAATATTATTCTAGGACTTCAAGTTCAATTATCGTGGATTTTTGAAAATATATTATTCAAGGACTTTTTGGCCAATAGGCGTGGAGAATTTTATAAAAATATTTTTCAAAAACTTCCTGCTGAATTAAAAAAAAAATCAAGGATATTCTAGCGAATTTTTAAAAAAAAAAATTTTCAGGGACCTTCTGATTTTTTAATAATTTTTTCGAGACTTCATGGCACATAAGATTGTATCCTTCCAAAAAATATTTCAATGACTTCATGGCCAATAGGCGGGAACTTATGAAAAATATTTTTAAAGGAACTGATCAGTTTTTGAAAATATTTTTCAAGGACCTCCCGATGGGTTTTCCACGATTTCATGGCGTGTACTTTTTAAAAAATATTTTTCAAGGACCTAGTGCACTTTTGGAAAATTTTTTTCAGGACTTCCTCGCGAAAAATTAAAAAAAAAATAAAAATCCCGGTGGATTTTTTAAAAATATTTTTTGAGAGTTTCTTTGGCCCAGGATCGTCGGCTCTTTAACAAATAAATCGGAGAGCTTTAGAAATATTCTTATATAACTTCCAACAACCAAGGATTTTTGTAAACAATTTTTTTATGAAATTAAGGAATTGTTGACAAAAAATCTTGGATTTTTTATGATATGAGTTCCGTATAACTATTGCCAAAAGTTTTGGATTTAAAAAAAGGAATAATGGGAATCCTAACCAGAAAAAGTGGATCGTTAAGAAAACTTTTTAACTTTTCAAGGACTTCCTAATACAAAATTGTTAATTTCATAATCATTAGAATATTCTAATGATTTTCTTACCAAGAAAACAGTCCTCTTCCAGGACTTACTTGTAAATGGTATTGATTTTTTAATAATATTTCATTACAACATTTTTAGAATTCTTAAGATATTTTTATGGTCTTTGGACATCATGGACTTTGTAGGAGTTTATAAAGGACATTGAGACAAAAAGTCTGTTTTTTTTTTTGTACAAACGTATGTAAATTATATATATATATAGGGACTTGATCCTTTAAACTATTTAAAAATAAATAAAAAATAAATATAAAAAAATTGATCTGCTTTCTTTTGGATCTTCCTGACATAGTGTCATAATTGTAACATATTTTGTCCAAACTTAGACGAAGAGTTAATGTAGACTCTGTGAGACTAATTTTTCGAGTAAGAACAAATTTGAGAATTACACTTCTCATACAAAGAGAATGCATTCCAGGAATTTTTCAAAATAAATCAATGATTTAGTTCATCTTTTCTTATGTTTCTTAAAAGCGAACATTTCAAGTTTAGTTTAAAATCATCCTCAACTGTATTTTTATTCGGCCATTGACCCATATTTTCCAACATTTTTAAATATCCCGTAACCACTGTCTCACATCTACCGACCCATGACGGTCTCAACTCAAAAGTTGACTTTCAATTGAAGTACAAACTTTATTGTTAGTAAAAATGCTTTCATTTATCACGTAAATTATTCTATATGGCAACATTTTACCACATGGGCTGGCTATGCACGAATTGTATCATAGCCAGCCCATCTCCTCAGCCATTTATCGATGATGATGGTGATGGTTACATTCCGATGTGGAGGAAAAAACATAAAACGTATGTTGGTATGCATGTGTGTGTCATATAGCGATAAAAAAAGGAG